GCACTGAGCCAAGAGTATGATTTAAGAGTAGAGAGAAAAACTGACTGCATCTGAAGAATTCAGTAGGCCTTGATGACGTAGTCTATGTAAGGCAAACTGGAAGGCTCCAGGAGATAATATTAGAGATCCTTAAACAAAAATGGAATAAACTTTCCAAAAACTGTCCAAGACCAGAAAGGGAAGGCAAAGAAGAGTAATAAAGTATTCTCGCCTCTCATAACAAGCCTTGCTGCCACTGACATTACGGACCATGGGATACAGTTATAAGGAACAGTGAAGGTGCCAGAAAAGAAATTTTGGGGCTACAGTATTAGGAAGGCTTCAGAATTCATTTAAATTGGCAATAAGTGAATTTAAAGTAATGAAATGAAAATGTCCAAGGAAAAAGAACACTCAAGAAAAATCAAAGAGTCAAGCTGCAATTTTAACGGGATGATTTCCGAAGGTCACAGCTTGATTTAAAATTTTTTTCAAAGAAGGTGCTTTGCTGTTTTCGTGAAAGGCAAGAAATGTCCATTTGACCCATGAAAAAATGGGAATGCTCCATCTTGGCTACAAAAGTTGGGAAAACTCTAGAAGTGTGCGCTCACCGTTATGATCATTAAGAAAGGTGGGGAAACCAAGTAAGCAGTGCAGAAATACAGTATTACTAGGAAACAGGAGTAAAAATCTTGAAACCAGTAAGTTACTATAAAACAGTAGGAAATACAATTTGAAGTTTTATTGAAGAGTTTGGAACAGTTTTGAAGCAATATAAACTTAAAGGGTGACAAAGAAATATTATACAAAGTCTAGAAAGCGAAAGCTCTATAGTCATTCAATTTAAAGTATCATTGGTGAGTATAGGATTGCAAGCTATTGAGTAGAGATTGAAACATATGTAATATTTCTGAGGTCCGGGGAGGTTTATATAGAGCACAAGACTGAATTTAATATAGGTGATAATTCTTAAGATGCAGCATGGTCTGAAATTAAACACCAAGGCTGAAGCTGAGCATGTTAATACACCATTACATTCAGTGGGTCCAACTGTACATGTTATTAACACCAAAGCATCAATAAGAGCACAGACACTTTTCAAAATATCCTAAAAGCTGTTGATAATTACATTAATTTAAGATCAAATAACATTCTTGACTCAGCAAGATTTAGCAAAACTGTACAGCTTCTAGGAGAGCCCGTAGATAATTTCATTAATGACTCTACAGATTAGTAGAAAACAATAAATATGGAGTGTTGAAATCAGAATTCATAAGAGGTAGAATTGCTGTTGGAATTTTTGATGAAACATTGTCAGATTTCTTACACTTCAAGGGTGTTTAACTTTGAAGAAAGTTTTTCAAATCATGCTGAAAACAGACTCCTGGACAGATCCTAAGAGGAGTATACAGTCATATAGTACAGAAACAGGCCCTTTGGCCTAACTTGCCAGTGCTGTGGTTTCCTAAACAAAAAAGTCCCATTTGTCTATGTTTGGCCCTATATCCCTTTAAACTTTTCTCATCCTTATACCTGTCCAAATGTTTTTTAAATAATGTAATTGTAACTGCGTCTGTCACTTCCTTTGGTAGCTCATTTCATATACACACCACTCTCTGTGTGAAAACATTGCCCCTCGGGTCCTTTTTAAAACTTTTCCCGCTCACCTTAAATCTATGCCCTGTAGTTTTGGGCTCCTCTACCCTGGGAAAAAGATCCTTGCCAATCAACTTATCTGTGCCATCATGATTTTATAAATCTCCATAAGGTCACCCTTCAGCCTCCTATGCTCCAGACAAAAACGTCTTGGCCTATCCAGCCTCTCCTTATAACTCAAACCTTCCAGTCTCAGTAACATCCTTGTAAATTTTTTCTGCACCCTCTCAAGTTGAACAACATGCTTCCTATAAGAGGGCGACCAGAATTGTACACAGTACTCCAGATGTGGCCTAGTAGTATCTTGTACAACTGTAACATGATGTCCCAACTCTTGTACTCAGTGCTCTGACCGATTGAAAGCAAGCGTGCCAAAGGCTTTCTTCACCACCCTGTCTACCTATGATCCAACTTTCAAGGAACCATGTACTTGCTTACTTAGGTCTCTCTGTTCAACAACACTTCCCAAGGCCCTACCATTAACTGTGTGAATCCTGCCCTGGTTTGACTTATTGAAAAAGCCAACACTACATCAAGGTGGCAAGAATCTAATAACTTTACAAGATATTTGCACTCTAAAGAGGCACATGACAAGTCAAACACATAAAGATCACTGTCAGTGCTGTGGAAAAGACTTTACAGACACAGAAAATGTGCAGATCTAAGAAACACAGTTTCAGAACAGCAGAAGTACTAGTAGCCGTACACAACAGAACACCTACAGCTATTAGAAAAGAAAACTGCATTTGGTTAGACACCTCAATAAAAGAAGATACCTGAGGTGTTTGCAATGGAACTAGCTAAGCAAGACAAGCCAGAATGGACAAAACGTAATATTTCAGTAAAGGAACAGGTGTTACTGTCCTATTAGAAACAGCAGATATTTTGTCCTACAGGGATAAGACTGCATAATACAGGAGAAATAAAGGTAAGGGTAAAGTTGCTATAGACTTATCAGACCATAGGGCTGCTCTTTCATTAGAGAGAGATGACTAGCGGTGGTTGAGGGTCACCACACCTCATACAAGGGGAAAGGTTGAGGAGAGTCTTTCGTAGTAACCTTAGCGAATTGAATCCACCCCATTGGCATCACTTTGCATCACAAATTAGCTGGCCAGACAGCTGAGCTAACCAAATCTCTGCAGGTGAAATAACTGTCGGTTGCATAAGAATTTTATAAATTGAATGTTGAAAACATGTACATTGCATGCAGTCAACTAACTTCACCTTTGACCCTGTATTCTCGAATTCTTGAATTCTCGAGTTGGAGGAGATCAATAATATTCCAGAGAATATCTGGGCCAGATACAAACAGTAGTCCAAACACTTGTCCAGGAACAAACTGTTATTGGCCAACCAGTCAAGAGGCAATGCAGTGAAGACTTCATTGGGTTTCTCAGACTCCTAGTGGAATCCAAACACAATAAATCAAGTAAGATCACTTAAATTAGCATAGAAGAGCTGTTTAATTTTGTCAACATAGTAGAAGTGACAAACTTCACAGGACTGATTTGAAATGTTCAATCCTCTGACTTGTAAACCAGAACAGTCAATGTCAATGATAGTGCTGAGGGAGGAGCAACCTTTCGGCAACACAACTCACAGTTTGAATAAGTTTACTTCATCAGTCAAACAAATACAATGGACAGTTGAAGATGTCCATCCTGATCAACATATCCCTCAGTGCAGCCCAAGAGCATCATTTTAAATTATTTTGTTTAAATCTATTAAGTAAAACTTGAACCCGTGACATTTAGACTCGGAAGCCAGTGTGATCCCCACTGAGTCATAGTTAATGCTCCAATCGTATATTCTCCAGCTAACCTGACAAATTCCTATTAGTAACTGATGAATGCATTCATGATTTAACCTCCATGATTATAGTCCAAGATTTTCAGATTATCTGTGTCCATTTACATAAAGAGAAATATACTACCTTCATGAAAAAAACACTTGAATGATAAGAGCTGCCCATCCTTTTCTGATAATCTTGTGGTCGAATTGTGAATTTGTACACAGAATTGGAAATTTGAAGATAGTTTTTTTTATATTCACTGACTTGACATGGAGAGTAATGGATAAGGATGAATAGTAGACATATCATCTCATCACGCAGTTACCAGATAACTTCTGTGTAAAGATAAACAAACTTATGAAAATTAGATTACAGGCTAAATTCTTTTGTATTGTGGGATCTTGTTCACTGCCAGTGTGTATACAGGTTGAAGGCAAAGTTCCCTGCTATAATGCAAAGTACAGAAAAAATTATTCTGTGCTGCTGTGAAATGTATTTGCTACCTTAATATACACTGCAGAGCTATTCTCAAAAGTAATTTGAATCCATTTGCAAATGCAGGCATCATTTGATCAGAACCAGAATGGGAGATTGTGGGATGGTATTTGGGAGGGGCTAATGGGTGTTGATAGCTGTATAAACTACATTGCTGTGTATGAATTACAGTCCTATTGAAAGATTAATGGCTGTTATAATCATGTCCAAGTTAATCAAATATTGTAGCACATAATGAACATTGTATTTGGAATCTGTGTGCCTGAATTTGTTCCCAATTATTTATTTGTCATTGTTAAATACATAGTGTTAATCTACATGACCATTATTTTATATGCAATCATTAGGTTAGCAGTAGAGCAGTGAAGATACTCTAGTTAGTCTAGTGAATATTTATACAGTATGATATAATCTATGAATTGGCACTAATCTGAAATGTACTTCATGGGTGGTCTTGTATAGTGCTTATTCAAAGCAAGATATTCACCAAGATATTCATAAACAGAAGCTTGATTTTGCTAGAGGTGAGGTTTGCTCCAACTGCTGCCTGTCATTGTAAATGAAGCACAGCAGTTCTTTGAAAACTAACAATTCTGATTGTGGTAAAAAGTATTAATATAACATCCTTTAATCCTCAAAATTACTGGAACAATCTAATTTAATGCATTGTACAGGCATAGTAGCCAAACAATATTATAAATGGACAAGATTTACTATGTTCTTCTAGCTATTAGGGGAATACCACACAGGCCAAAACAACTCCAGCAAATCTTTCTCAAATTATGGCATTAAGAATAGTTAGATTTTATCTTTTATCGAATATATATTTTGAACATTTCCTTTTGAAAACATGCCCTGTCTCTACAACATGTGTGATAAGTTTTCAGCCTCATAAATTCAGTAGAAGCTGTTGTTCAAAAAGATTTTAATTTTGATATTAAACTCTCCAATTATCACAGGAAATTAGTGCCATAATTATTACCATTGAAGACTAGGATGCATTATGTATGTTTGATGCAATATGCAAATAAATTCATAGGGCTTAATTCATTTTCTTGGATGCTGTAGTAATCTTTTGAAGTGTATAGAAACCATTAAACTGTCTTTCAAGGTATCACCAAGTTTGTGTAATAATAGTTATGTCAACATTGCAATAAAACCAAGATTTAAACAAATGCAGCATGAATTTAACTACATGGTTCATTAGCATGGCTGAGATCATTTATGTAGGCTTAAACAATGCTGGCCCCACTCTGTGAGTGTTATTTTTAATTACGTTCAACATTCCTGGTATAGTAGCATGATGTAGAGGGATGGATTCATTCACTCTGCTGACTCCATCATTTCAGTCATGCTATGCGAGGCTAAGATGGGGGTTAGTCACTACTTTGTGGAAGTGAGTGATTGGAAAATTGAAGATAAGCCTTCACTTGGCTTTTGTATATTGTGGGCAACCTCTGGGTGGAGCCTGGTCCAAGTATTTTTGGCCGGAGGTGGTGTACAAGACCTAAGCATGATAGAGAGGAAACAAAATCACCTATTACATCATAGCAACCAAAGCTGTAAATCTAGTTGACTTTAGCTGGTTTTTCATTTATTTGTATGGAATAGTTTTAAATGCGAAACAGGTTAATACTCTGAGTAAGAATAGCTTTCAACAGCATCAAGTTAATCCCTTGGAAGCATAAGTAAGATACTTATTAAACGTAAACAAAAGGGGATGGCTGTTTATGAAATTTGTGAAAGTTTAATTATTTGTTAACCACAGTTATTAAACTGTTTAACCATTACTTTGAATGGCAACAAGAACAAGTATTGTGATATTATGCTGTGATTGCTCATGACTTTCTCCTTGTGGTGTGATCATAAATAACCACTTGGACATAAAGATCCGTTTCAATTAAGTTTCGTGTGGTATTATCCCCGGGAGAGACCTGTGGGGAAAAAAAAACTTGTTAAATTATATGAGTGAGGATGTTATTTTGAAATTTAATGTGTCTTTGCTTTGAGCTATTCATCACGCTTTAAAAGGCTGCAGTACGGAGTTCAAAATTGTGCTGAAGCATCCATAGTTGTGCTATCTTTTTGGAGAAAACTGTACTCTGTCAAAGATATTACCAGTTTCTTTAACCGTGTCTCCAAACTGGCAGAACAGCAAGCTTCTAGAAATATTAACCAAGTATATTTGGAATCTAACATGATTGAACATTGCTCTTCTGAAAAATAACATTTTCTTTATTTACTCATGGATGTGGGCATTGCTGGCTATGTCAGCATTTATTGCCAATTACTAATTGCCCTTGAAACACTGAATTTCATGATGGGGGATGGGAGGTGCAGTGTAGGCAGGATTAGACATATTTATAATGCTGTTAGGAATAGAGTTCTTATCCTTTCAGCAACCAGCGTTCAAATTCCATGTTGTCTACATTCATTTCAAATTGTGCAAATCATCGTTTTATCCTGGACCTAGTTGCATTCAGCATTTTCCTCCCTAATATGTGATGTTCCCACCCCTGCTCAATGAGACACACAAATAGTCTTGTGAGTAAAGTGCTTACCTCATGTCAATAGATACCACAGGAAGCGTGGAGAAAGCCAGGAAAAGAAACCTAGTCAGCCATATGACAAAGATTTGGAGACAAACCCTCACAAGGACCACATTAATTAAAATGTACAGGGTCAACTTGAGCTGGCCTACCCTATATAGGGCCTCATTGGTGATTGATGAAGCTCAGCCCAGTTTATCAACAGTCTTTCAAATAATTATGGATCTACTTGACATTGAACCTCATAGTGTATTATCAACAATGTTCTTATTTTAAAGGAGTTTCAATAGTGATAAATCTGTTATTTCTGGGCAGATCCACAGCCAAAACTGAGTTGTATAAATTTACCACTCCATTTATCATGAATTTATCTCAACTTTGCCGTATGCAGCTGTATTCCACAGGATGCTGAAGTAGGTGATAATAGTCCATAATATATCTGACATATTTTGTTGGATTCCGTCTATGTGAATCATTGGAATTCATTGGAGGTGCTGATTCTGAATCTTGTTTGTGTTTTAAATCTAACCAACAGTTTGTTACTTAGTTAGAAATCTGTTTTACTCAATGTGCACATACGATAGTTGAAGAAGAGTACAGAGGAGAATAATTTTGGAGGTGCACATTTCTATTTGCAGTAAATCTTAACATCTGTCACATGGAATATTCCACAACCCAGTTGTAAACTGCTGGTCTCATAAGGACGATTGTTGTAGGAAATGGAAAAAAAATGACATTGACATGGTGAGCTGCTTTTGACTTTTGAGTTAAGACATATTATAAGAAGGACTCTTATATGGAGTAAATTAATTCAGAAAGATCGTGTTCAGAAAGATCGTGTTTATGATTCTTTTTCAAATACAAAATAGAATCAGTCTTTCTCATTCCAAAGTGAAGTATTGGGAATGCTGAAAATCTGAAATAAAAACAGAAGAAACTGTAAAGTTAACAAAGGAAGGAAAGAGAGATGGGTGTTGAGTTTAATTCCATTTATTCAAGGGATACAGACTTCACTAGCAGGGCCTCAATTTATTACCCACCTCTAATTGACTTGAGAAGTTTTTGCTGAGCTGCCTTCTTGAATTGCTGCAGTTCATTTGGTGTAGGTATATCTATACTGCCATTAGGGAGAGAGTACTTGGATTTGACCAAAGACAGTGAAGGATTAATCGTGGAGAAATGTGCAGAGCCAGGCAGACAGAATCCCCATAGAGTTCCAAGGACAGAATCTCCATTCAGAAACTGGAGAATGGTGGATGTTATACCTTTATTTGAAAAACACTGCAAAGACAAACCTACCAACGACAGGCTAGTCAGTTTAGCCTTGTTGGTGGCAGCATGTCAGTAAACAATAATTTGAGTTAATTCAGAAAAGCCAGCATGGATTTGTTGAGGACAAATTGTGTTTTACAAACTTACTTGAGGTTTTTTAACGAGGGAATGGAAAGGATTGATTAGAGTAATGTATTTGAAATTAGTGTATGTGGACTTCCAAAAAACATTTGATAAAGTACTACACAACTGACATGCGAGTGTTGTTACAGCCCATGGTATAAGAGGAATAGTAGCAACTTAGATACAAAATTAGCAAAGTACCAAGAAACAGTGTGGTGGTTAATATTTATTTTTCAGATTGGAAGATGGCTTCTGGTGTCATGCTCCAGTGCTGATGTTAAAACCATTCACTTCCAGGCATATATTCAAAACCCGGAAGTGTTGTGACTGTGTGGAGAATAGTTTAAAACCTCGAATAGATACGGACATTTTGTGGAATGAACAGATAAGTGTTAGACGAAACTTAATGTAGAGAAGTATGAAGTGATCCATCTTGATGGGAAGAATACAGAGAGGTAATTTAAAATAGACAATGCAATTTTCCACGAAGTAGAAAGACCTGAGTGTGTAAGTGCCTGTTCCTCAGCTAGTATTCAGGATCTGGAATGCTCTGTCCATCAATGGTGAGGGTAGGCTCAATCTCAGCATATTATTTGAAAGTGAACTATGCACAGGGCTGTCGAGGGAAGGCAGGGGAATGAATTGCTCCTTCAGAGATCCAGCATAGACACAACAGGCCAAATCATTGTATGCTGTAACTTTTCTATGGTTTTAAATACCTACAAGTCAGACAGCATCTATGTAGACAGGAAGAGTCATTGGCCTGGATACTTGAGAGCCAGTGGAGGTGACAGCAGAGGTGTGTGGGTCCAGAATTTCTCTCTGCTAACTACGGGTGTCAGTTTGCTCGCACCATTCCACACCTGAGGTGTTTTTGATATACCAGAATAGAAAGACTATTGTCTACAAGAATCAGCTTGCCAGTTGAGTTAAATAAGGAGCTTATTAAGGTTCCTAAGGCTTCCTGCCAGTGGTAAGATGTCATGGCAGAGTGAAGACATTGTGCTCCCCTTGAACTGCTTTTGTCAGCTGCACTACCAAATCTCCTCACTCACAGCCAGTTATCATAAGGCCAGGATTATTCAACCTAAAGCTCATGGAATATCTTTATTTTTAGACTTTAAAACAGTTCACAAAATAATATTTATTTAGGACGTGAGAATAAAAATCCCTCTGTCTTATCCTACTGCTTTGCTTGTTAACTTGATGAGTTTGGAAGTGCACTGGCAGAATGTCATTACTTATTGTCCATGGAGATAACACTACGGATACGTGTTAGTAAAGTTATATATATTTCATTAAAGAAAGTCCATCCGCATTTAGAACGGACACACAGTCTTTTGAAATGACTCACACCAATCACATGACTATCATTGTGGATTTCAGCTGGTATTGGGACTGGACTGTTTATTTCGGGAGCAAGTCACAAGAAATTTTTTGGAATTCAATGAACTTTTCTGGGGTAAACTTCAATCCCTTAAGGGTTCTCCTAGAGATTCCTGGCTTATGGCAGACCGATACTGAGAGCCTTACAAGCTAATGCCATCTATAATGCAATGAATGGGCCTATGGCCTGACCAATCCAGCACCTAATATGGACGCATGATGTAGCAATTTTAGGATAGTAGCCATTTTAAATTTTCATCTGTAAAAGACAGGCTGTAAGCAATCTTTTGTTGAGACCATGCCCAGTGAGAACCCTGAGAACCATCTTCAGAGAACAGGCTCTAACTCAAGGAGAAGACCAAAGAGAAAGGCATACAGAAAACAACTGCTGTTCTTCCAAAAAAGTCCAGGAAATCTGCAAGTGCAATAACGATAGAATTGGTCAGGAACAAAGAAGTCCTCTATCTGTTCCAAATCTTTCTGACTTACTGAGTCAACCTGTGCAGACAAACTTTGCACCTATTTGAATATCTAAGCCATTGTAATCAATTTTGATTTTAAGATTTCCAACCTATTCACTTTCAGCAAGTGAATCTTCAGTAAGCAACAGGCTTGAAATGATCACAGAGACTGATCATACTTTTATCTTTAAAATTATTTTTCACCCTTGCCTACTAAGTTTTGCACCTGTATTTTACCTAGTGACTTTGCCATTTTTTACTTCAATAACATCTAGCAATAGTTGTGTAGCCTTTGATCTTTAAAGCATAAAACTGTTGTAAACAAAAATAAAATGATGCTGCTGGTTAGGTTTTACATTGAAACACGTGAAAGGTAAATATGGACTAAACAAATTATACAAATTTCTAGTTACCAGCACTCTGAGGACACAGTGGTGTGATTATGTCATTTATATCGCTTCATATTGCCAGTAATTGGTATTACTAAAGTTTAATGAAACTCAATATCTGATCATAACAGATGTCCTTGCAAAAACATTTATATTTAATTAAAGAGCAAAAATAACTTGCAGATACTAGAATTCTGAAAATTAGAAAATGCTGAAAACTGAAAGTTTGGGTTGAATTTTTCTGTTGTGTATCAAGTGCTGTCAACAGGCCCACCTGGGGGAGCGGAGTCTCTGGGATTTTGTCAGCAGTGGCCGATTAATTGCCAACCTCTGGGGCAATGGTTGGCCAGTCTCCAGAGGAGCCTTTAGCTCAGTAACCTCAGGTGTCACAATTTTGAGTGCTTTTGAAGACCAGATACAGTAAAACTGCCGTTTGCATCTCTGCCGTTTGATGATTCACTTATCTACACAATACTTACCACAGTGAATCTAATTCTCACTTATCTACGACATTTAAAAAAAAGAAAAAACTCACTTCCTGGAGTAAAAGTATGTACTGTATATGTATTGTTCTGTGCAGTCTGCCTTGTTGGTTGTTTGCAAACATCACCAATCAGGCATTCTCTGGAAATGTACCCCCACGAACAGTAAGTCTTTAATTTTGAACAGCTAGCTCCAGGCAGTCATACACTAGCAATTGGGGTTGGGTGGATGGTAATTGTGGTGCACGAGTGGTGAGTTAGGTATGAAGGGGGCTAGCTACTGCTGCCATGGGTGACAATCAAGGAGGGAAATGTCCTAAAACCTGACGGTTATTTGGCATTCTTTGTTCTCTGCAGTGGTGCCTCCTGATGCTGGGAGTGTCTCTAGAGGTCAGAATGAACAATTCTGATGAAATAAAAGCACTTTAACCAGGGGTAAAGAGTTTTGGTGGGGTGCTTCTTGTGACAGCCAAAATAAAGGACAGTCCCTTAAAATATTGAAGTTGATCACTGTGGCAGGGAGGGAATTTGTCATTATGTGTCTTGGAAGGATGGCTGTCCTATTAACTTTTTTAATGCTGACAGTATCTTATACCAAAGAGACACCATTGAACCCTTCCCAACACCTTACCTCCCCGCCATATGGCCTTTCCACTTACTAGTCTGTTACCATACGGCTGAGGTAAGTAAGTACAGTTGCCGTAGCTCCATAGGACTAACCCCTCATTAAAATGAGCATCTGGTGGTAAGCTTAACTTGATGATCATCATACCTAACAAGGCAGGACCTTCACGATGATCTCAGCTAGCACAGGAATTGAACCTGGCATCACACTGCACTGAAAATCAGCCTTATAGCCAACTGAGCTAACCGACCCTGCATGGGAAATTCAACCCATTAATTCTTCAGTTCGTTCCATAGATGCTAACTATCGAGCTGGGTATTTTTAGCATTTTTTGTTTTGTCTCTTCTATATTTAAGTTCTGTTCTATTTGGATTACCAGAATATTATTTATGCTTCAGAAAAAGAAAGTACAAGATTTGTGACGGATTGGAGAAGAACAGGAAAAAAAACAAACTTTTACCTTTGGATCCACGTGTACTATTTTTCGATCTCTTTTGTTTTTGAAAAGGAGTCCAGAGGCATTATCTGTGACTACGTGGTAAGACGGACTGGAATTGCATGTGCAGGTCTGAGTGTCCCAATTGTAGAAGCTGCCAGAAAATGAGCAGAAATAAGTATGTCGAGGTACAATTAATTATTCAAGTATTTCTTAATCCATGAAAGAAAAAGTCTAGAATGAAGAACCTACTGTTGACTGAAACCATTGCCAATTGTTGGAAAATGCCATCTGATTCACTAATGTCCTTAGGGAAGGAAATCTGCCATCCTTACCTGGTTCTGGTCTGCATGTGACTGCGGAAGCACAGCAATGAGGTTGACTCTACGTTGCCCTCTGAAATGGCATAGCAAACTACTCAGTTAGCAAACTACTCAGTTCAAGTGTGGCTAGGGCCAGGCAATAAATGCTGGAGAGCCAGTGACGCCTACATCTCACAAGTGAATAACAAAAAATGAAAATTGGACAGTGGAAATATTCCTTCTTAAGACTTTAACGTGATGGTTTATTGTTTGATAAATCCTGACATTGTAGTTTTTTTTGCTACGTAGTGTGTGTACACAAGAGGGAGAAAGCAAGGGATTATTATGAAAGCACAGCTTTCCTAATATTCATGATATTAACGTAAAAGCAAATTACAGTGGTTGTGATCTGAAAAGTTTTGGACAAGCATTCAGATCTGCAGCATCAGTAGGGAGACAGAAACAGAGTTAATAGTAATACTGTTTCTCTCTCTACAGATGCTGTCAAATCTGCTGAGTTTGTCCAGCTCTTTGTTTTTATTTCATGATATTAATGTCAGCCTTCTAATAAAATGCCAAGGGCCTCACTGCCAATGTGACTGAACAGCTGCAACAGCAGTAATGGGACAGCAAACTTGGACTGAACAGATTCTTTCATCCAAGATCATTGTTGATGTCTTTAACATATTTATGTTTTGGTGTGAGACAATGCCTCAGGTATGTGACTGAAAATTTCGTACCTAGAGTTGTGCAACATTGACAACTCTTGAGTTCCAGGAATAAATACTTGTTGGCCCTTTGGTTGAGTAACGTTTGCTGAATAAAAATTTCAGGAACCAAAACTACCTTAAAAAGAAATTAATACTGCACTGGAACTAATTAGAGGTGCCTGCATCTTATTAAATCCGACCTCAAAATAACATAAAGGACGTCATTCCTATTCTGTACTTTACCAAGAACTTCAACTCAGTGCTTATTTTGCTGAATGTTTATGGCTTGGGCTTTGGCCAGAACAAATGTTTTGTGCCAATTGAGTAACGCGCCCCAGCAGTTAAATAAAGATTTAGTTTTTATTGCCTAAAAGAAATGTTGTATCAATTAAAAAGCTTCTGGAGCTATTTGCTTTATTATGCTCAAAGTACAACTGAGTTCATGATCACATCCGGTGATGCCAGATGCTGGAATGACATGACACCACTGTTCTTTCAAAGAAGACTGCTGTTCTTAGCAGGATATATGAGCTAGGAAAAGTATCCTTCTGAAAATTGAATTGGTGTTACAAGTCTCAGTACATAAATGTCTGTCTATTGCAATATAAATTAATGATGATTCTGTAAAAGTAACTGTGCTACTGCATATTTGTTATTGTAACCAGTTGGATCACTTTGAGGAAGGAAATCTACAATCCTTATCCAGTGTGGCCCAAATGTCTTTAGTCCTACACTAATGTGGCTGGCTAACTCTTAACCAAACTAAGAAGGTAACTAGGGGATAGTAATTCAACTGTGACCTTCACAGCAAACTAACACATGTGCCGAGACTGGTATGCACAAGAGTGTTCAGTTCCACTGGTCCAATCTTGTAGAGTAGAAAATGATTTTGTAAACCCCTATTCTTGTGTATTCTTTTCAGAGGAAAATACCAAGATGTGTCTGCAGTTTAGGACATAATCCACAGAGGGTGATTTCCTGTTGAGCAGGAGGTTGTCAGCCCATCATTATCTTTGGAATCACAAGAGAATCTTAGTCATTCTATTTGAAATTCCTTTAATGCTTTTAAAGCGTTACATTCCATTGGTCTCACAGTATTCTTTACACCTACTGTTATACTATCTTTAGCAGTCCTCTTTTTAAAGAGAAATTTTGGAATTAAGGGCTAAAAATATTCACTGTCACTTGGGGTTCTGACCCATTGTTGTAACACTGAAAAATGAAAAGATCTCAATCATCATCAGAAACAATATAAATTTTGCTTGAACTTGTCAAATCTTGAATTTTACAAACAATAATAAAAGTAACAAGTTCAGAAGTGAAGAGTATGAAGAATAGATAGGAGAAACTATTTACATTAGAAGTAAAGTTAGTTACCAGAGGACAGATTTAAAATAATTGGCCCCTTGGCGCTGAATGATGAACCTTTTAGTTTATCTGAATAGCTCAGAATTGTAATGAGAATAATTGTTAGTCCATCAGTGTCACTGTTATAATGGAAGAAATTTGACAGCATCATTTGAGGCTGGATTTTCAGTCGGTATTTTGAAAGCCAAAGTTGGAATCAATTCTAGCTCTTTGCCTTGACCAGCAAGTTCCAGCTGCATCCAGCTAGAATTCTAAAGAGCAAAGCCAGTTAATGGCAAAGAGCAGGCTCAGCCAGGGTGACCAACTGATCTCAATTCTATGTTGTGTGATTGGGGCTCTTGATTTTCGCTTGATGAACAGCAAGCATCTGTGCATGCTGTTCACTCTGTGATCAGCACTTCTGGTTTGGACAGCATTCCTTCCTGTTACCATGGTGTATACAGCAATCTCCACTTCCCCTATTCCAAGATGTGAATGACATACTCTTGCCTTTTTATTGTCTGAGTAGAGCCACTGTGCCCCCCCCCCCCCCCCTTCCCCCACCCCCCCCACCCGACAACCACAAACAATACCACCCATTGCTCACCCAGGGCTCCCCATTCAGTTAAGGTGGGCTACACATTCTGGAGGGACTCCCGCATGGCTGTCAAGCACTGCCACATTGACAGACCCACCTGCTGCAGAGAGAGATGGTGCTTCAATAAGGAGATGTTTTTGGAAGTAGATGTCAGCATTTTGTTTATTTAGAAATAGCACAGTTCCCAGGTAATGACCATGGAGAGGCAATCACAGCCATTTATAGTCAGCAATTGTGGCCCAGTGGTATGACCAGTTTTGGTGAGTGGTGTTCTTCAGTGATGAAGCATCAATTTCAACTTTTGATGACATGAGCCCACTAAGGTTTTCTGGTCACTGTCAAAGCTTGTCTGCGTCGCTGAATGGGAATAACAATGAACAAAGGAATGGGGCTTACTATGGGCCTAATTTCCTGATGATGGTTACCTGCCACAGTTGTTTTGGTAGCCGTTCTAACTTCTACCTGGCCTCTTCCAAAATGAGGCCATTGGGATCATGGCTCCATACTGGCACAATGGCTATTAACATGAAATTGTGGACCCACCCATCAACCTTCTTTTAATACCCAGAACATGGAGCCCACACATCTCTCGTTAAAGTGGGGAAAATTGAAAAAAAATTGCTATCAGAGCGAACTTGTCTGTCCCATAGTAAGCACGGTTGCAGTCTTTGCTGACAGATTTGGCATTAACATGACTATTATCGCATAATTTTTCTGTACCTTTCCCATAAGTTCTACACCAAAAGCAGTTGAAAAAGTTAGCATGTATTCAAGTGAAAATGAGTTCTCAACAGCTTGATATACGACAGTTACTTCTGAACAGCCTCTCTGTGCCTGAAAAGTTAATAAATTGAGAGTTTCATTCTTTCAATGAAATTAGTGTTGAATTTTTTAAAAAAATCCACTTTTTAATGTTTCTGTCTGTCTTTCATCTCTTGTCCTTAACTCTATGTGCGTTCCCAATCTTTATTTTACATTCTGTCTTATCATGAAACTCTAATTTGTATTTCCTGCTTTGATACTTTTTAGATTTGAGTCCGTGTGTGAAGATTTTTCAACCTGATTAAAGTATATTTGAATGTTTTAAAGCAGTAAAAGTGTAATCAAATATGAGTATTTGTTGTTTGGCTGAACAGCATCCCTTTGCTTTTCCTGTATAAACATTCTCTAGCTCTCCTGTAAAGGGCATTGTGCTGGTAAAGATGCCAGCTTATACGCAATTTCTGCTGCCAGGCGCAGAAGAAATCTGTGGCCAGTTGTCGGAGAGATGAATGGCCAATGCTATTGAGAGCACTGAAATAACGCCACAGAGGCCAGTATCCCATCACCAAGTCACTCTTAAACGTAGAGAGTCATTGACACTGGTCCAACTCCCTCAGAGCCAGCTCTCAGAGTGAACAGGATGTCTGACACTCCTGTTGTTATCTCTCAGCCAGGGCACCCTGATTGGACCAGATTAACAGCCCCAATCAGGGAACTTATTCTTTGAGGTCCATTTGGCTGTTGTCATTGCAATCACTACAAGCACAATCTGTGTTGTTTATATTTAGCTTTTATAGAATTAAAAATATAAGTAGTGGTAATGTGCAATAAAGTGATTAGTATCTAAATTGAAAGATAGTTTAACATTTTGAGCAAGACCTTTCCGCCACTGGAACACTAGCTGATGATTGCACTTGCCATGTTTTCATTCAGATGCTGAATGAACTGCTGTGTATGTTCAGTATTTCTACTTTTGTTTCAAACTTCCAGTTTTGTCCTCTATTTTTTAAGAACTACAATAAGTGCTTAAGAAAAACATATATTTGGACACAGGAACAAAAATGTAGAAGATGCTGAGGAATCTTGCTCAAACGTGGCAGTTGGGTGACTATCGAAAGTATGTTCTGCATTGCAAGCGAATCATTTTATGTTTGGACCTTAATTTTGCATCAAAGTGTTATGCTTAGACTAAGAATTCTGCATAATGGGACTGAGCAGAATGTGGCTTGGATCACTGGAAGTCTGATCTTGAATTAGGTATGACTTTATTGGGAGAATGTTTCTTTCACTATAATACTGAAATAGAAATGAGAGTTATTGATACTCCTAGGTTTCAGAATGGCAGTAGACTATTTTTATGGCTAACCGAACAATGAATCATCCCTATCCAGGTTTTTTTGTGGCAGATTTTCCAACATAATGCTTACAATTGTCT